CCAGCCTCAACAGCCCCAACTCCCTCAGCCTGTCCTCACAGGGGAGATGCTCCAGTGCTCTTAGCAACTTGGTGGCCTACTCTGGACTTGCTCCAACACTTTCATGTCCTTCTTATGTTGAGGACACCAGAGCTGTGTGTAGTATTCCAGGTGGGTCTCAGAAGAGCAGAGCAGACGGGCAGAATCACCTCCCTTGACCTGCTGCCCACACTAAATAGGAGCAGTTACAAAAATACCCCATGGATTAAAAACATTCTGAGCCACAAAACTCCTAACCCATGAATTGGCTGAAACAACAAGAAGCCAGGAGGGAACAGAGTTATACTATCCCTGAGCTCTTTGGCTTCTCAATTGAACTGACACCTGTCCAAGCCACCTGTCTGGGTCAAACTCTGCACTGACCCAGCAGAGACATATAACACAACTCTGTTGCTCTGCCTTCAGTTGCATCTGTGTGTTTAATTTGTTTTTAGAGAGGAAATTAGGCTTTGTGATCCCTGCATTGCAGAGTGTTGAGACAGAGCTGTCACGCTGGTCTTTGTTGCAAAACAGTAATGAAAGGATGTTTGGAATACCTTACAAAAAACACAGATGTTGCAACTACCACAGAATTTAAGCATTAAATGGAGCAATGCTGCAAAGTTTGCTGACTGAATGAGAACTCAGGTGCTGTGCTTTCCTCACTGCCATTGCTGAAGGGCTGAAGACACAAGGAGACTAAACATCCAGTGGTTGGTCTGAGCTGGAATACTTGACAGCTTCACCTCAACAGTTCATTTGTCTGAGCTTCCTGTAATTACATTCTAAACAAAAGAAGGGTGCCCAGTACTTCATTATATTACTTTCTTATAATCTACCACATGAAAAGCTGTACAGTATGGGATGCTCATTCCAAATCTCACTCCTTGTGGTTTTCCCTCTCTTTTCACCCCAATTTAGTTCTCCATTTTTCTATACTATGTAATAACTCAATTTTGCCTTTCTTGTGATATTTTACTACCTCTTCTCCCATGCAAAGTTTTCTCTAATCACTCATTAGGCTTTGCTTAATCCTTTAAACAAGTTTTGGAAGACTTTACATGAAATAACTACCCCAAAGCCTTTGTCACACATGAGAAAAAAGTCAAGAAAAGTCTTCCAAAACTGGTTCCAACCTGGTGTGGTGGGAGGTGTCCCTGCCCAGGGCAGGGGTTGGGAATAGATGATCTCTAAGGTCTGTTCCAACCTCTAAAGTTCTATGATTCTATGAATACAACAGCAGAGAAAAGGTCAATAGGTTTTTAGCATAAACTACAATCACCACCTCAGACCAAGTTCTTGTGACCTTTTCATCCAACAGACCTTTCTGTCTGACCTTGTTTCCCCTTGCACAGGACAGACAAACCCCAGATCAAATGCTCTGCATGTTACATTGCCTGTCTGACAGGATGTGACTGTCCATGTCAGATTGTGGCCAGGACTCACAAGTCTCCTGCCTGCCCCAGTGAGTATGAGGAAATAGGTTCAGAAGGGTCACAAGCATTTGTTTGGGAGAATAGAACAGGTATCATTTGTTCGGGGTTGATGCAGAGAGTAGTTCAGGAGAGAATCATAGACTTCTAGAGGTTGGAATGGACATTAGAGACCATCCAGCCCCAACCCCTGCCCTGGGCAGGGACACCTCCCTCCAGAGCAGGTTGCTCAAGGCTCAGCCAACCTGGCTGTGAACACTGACAGGGTTGGGGCAGCCACACACAGGATAACCATGTGTTTGAGAGCACAGCAATGCATTTCTTTCACTAGCTTAAGTGTCTGCAGCATCTGCTACTCCAATGGGAATTTACAGCATATCAACTACCTTCACATACAAGTGAGCTATCAATTTAAAACTATTCACATTTAGTAGCTGCCTGAGATTTCCTACACATGAGGATTTCTCAAGAAGGAACAATACTCCAATTTCATACAGAAGATTCTTGGACTACAGAGGACTTGATAAGAGCACAGGAGCATCTCCCCTGTGAGGACAGGCTGAGGGAGTTGGGGCTGTTGAGGCTGGAGAAGAGAAGGTTATGTGGAGACCTCAGAGCACCTTCCAGGAGCTGAAGGGGCTCCAGGGAAGCTGCAGAGGGATCTGTGTTAGGAGCTCTCCCCAGGACTATGAGGACATGGTGCAGATTTCATCCTAGAAAACACATTTCCTTTTGCAGCAGTTGCAATAGTGTCCCTAGCACAGATGGGCTAATATTGTCATTTCCACCAAGTCCAGAGACAGATAAGCAAATAAAGACAAAACTCAGAGAAAGGAAGTTATTTACAAAGAGAAGCTCACAAACATATGGGAAATAATAATACTGTCAGACACCAGACCACCATCTTTAGCATTTCCAGAAAGATTAGAGGATAAATTAAGGGGAAAGATTAAATTAAGATATTTAATTAAGATCAAGATTCAATAACAGTCATGATGGGCTAACAGTTGTGCAGTTAAGAAGTTACTGTATTGGAGATCATTTGCTATTATCTTATCCGTATGTCCTACAAATAAACCACAAAAAAAGCAAACAAAACCAGTACCCCCAAAATTTTCCAGTCTTGGCTCTTGTTTTTGTGAAAAGATTTGTTTGCTTTCTAAAACAACAACTCTCTAGGTTCCTTGATGGAAAGGCAGCAGAGGGTACAAATTATTTCTATACATAATCACATCTCTCCCATCTGTTTCAGGCACTATTCACAGTGCTAAAACACTTCAGGGAAGTCAAGAAATCAACATGACTTATTATATGCCACCATTAGTAACTGTAGAAAAATAGATCTGAAAATTTGAGCTTTATTCTAAAACACCATTTTTTTTTGCGTCCAGCCCATTCAATAAGGGCTTCAGATACACCTGCTTGGAAAACACAACTGGAAAGATGATTTTTGATTGGGAAGTCCTTGATTTCAGTCTCTTATTTTGCTCAAGCTGAAAAACAGGAAAGAAAATAAAACATGTTTTCCCTCCTCTTTCCTATTTGCAGTTTACTGCTGTAAGAAACAAATTTGAAGTGCTCTCAGGTGAGAGCTTTTCTATGAGTTTTGCTGCTCTGCATAACAAAGGCAACACAGTGGAGAATCCAGTCACAGTGCTCCAAGTTGGAGTTTTGGTACAACATCAACCTGTTGTTTGATACTTCCTAAAACGTTGATATTCCTGCAATGGATCAGTATATGCTAATATCTGACTAAGCACCCGCTCTTAGCATTTTCAGCTTAGCTATCCAGCAAGGCATCCTATTATACCCCTCCAGATAAAAGGAACCAAGGATGGTCTTGGTGCATTACCCCAGCAGCAATGTCTCAGGTGGGTAAGGTCACAGCTAGAGAGCAGTGGACACGTCATTAGGCTTTCAGTGTCAAGTTCATAGAACCATAGAATCAAATGGGTTGGAAGAGACCTTAAAGATCATCAAGTCCAATCCTACCATGGCTACTAGACCATGGCGCACGGCTCAGGGGAGACCTTCTCACCCTCTGCAACTCCCTGACAGGAGGTTGGAGTCAGGTGGGGGTTGGTCTCTTCTCCCAGGCAACCAGCAGCAGGACAAGAGGGCACAGACTCAAGCTCTGCCAGGGGAGGGTTAGGTTGGAGATTAGGAAGAGATTTTTTACAGAGAGTGCTCAGACATTGGAATGTGCTGCCCAGGGAGGTGGTGGATTCCCCATCCCTGGAGGTTTTCAAGCTGAGACTGGATGTGGCACTTAGTGCCATGGTCTAGTGACCACTGTAGGGTTGGACTTGATGATCTTGGAGGTCTTTTCCAACCAGGTTGATTCTATGAGTTATAACACAGCAAAACAGACAGAACTGGCAAGCTGATATGTTCATGATATTAACTGTATCCCACTACTACAGACATATTCTGCTGCACAAATAGATAACTCCAACAAAAAAATAACCATGATAATAATAGTAGAGCAGCAATACTATTGTTTTCTGCCACAAGTCTATTCACAGAAAGTAGTTTATGCCAGAAACACAAAGTTAATCTACTGGAAAATGGAAATGCTTCACTGTTCAATGTGATGAATTCACAGCCCCTACTTCTGGCTAATGATGGATATAAAAAGTCAGACTTGAAAAGCTAAATAGAATTTTCTGGCTTATTTAAAGCACCAGCAAATGTCTACTGAGAGCAGCAGGATCAGGATCTGTTCAGCTCTAGAAAAATGACACTTTCAGAAGGTTGCACAGGTTTCTCCAGTCTCATACAGCAGATCTTTTAACTGCTGGTCCCCCAAATTTACAACTGGAAGAGGCAAACACACAGAGTCAACATTCTTACTTAGAAAATTAACAGCTTATAAATAAACCAACCCAAATAATTCCACTGAAACTTATGCACATCTAAAACACACGTTCTTATTGTTCATTAGTTCCCACAAACATCTTTTTCTTCCCATTTGACTCGTGATGAGCATTCTACTTGCATGAAGTATCCTAACCAGCTTGAACTAGAAGAATATATCATGGAATATCTACTTTAACCAAAGTAAACCTCAAACCAGTAGCAGATGATAAGGCAGCACATACCTAGATGTTATTAAAGACACCACACAAAGGACTACCAGGTAAATTACAGCTGCAAACAACACATCAAGCTGCTGGAACTCTTTCTGCTGATTTTATGGCATTTCTATCAATCATACAGATATTTATGGTTTCATTAAGTATGTCCTATAGCAAACACAAACCTTTTGAAGCCAATTCTCAACTTACCTCTAGCATTTTTATTACAACTTTCACATAGAAATGAGAAATCCCCAGTGACACACGAAATATTGAAGGCAACAAAACTAAGGCCACAAACAAAATCATCCAAAGAGACAAAATCTTTCCTTCTGCAATGTTAGGGCCACCTCTGTTTTCTTCCATGCTTGCTCCTCCAAAATGCCAACCAGAGAATGTATGTTCATCTGTAGTGGAGAACCTAGCAAGCTTCAAGAGACAAGCAAACAAAAATCACCCATCCCAAGAGCAGAGCTGTCTCCAGGAGGAGGCTGCTGCTCTCTGAAGCCTCACACCACAGATAGTCTCAATGATAATGTCATTTCTCCCCCTTGTCCCGCCCTAACTCCACCTACTCACTTTAATTGATAAGCATTTACTCACCACGGGAGAAGAAAGAAAAAACATGGTAAGTAGTAATATAGGTTAGGCAATTAGCTGCTGCCAATAAGGAACCTTCTTAATGTGTCAACTAGTTTACACAGGTGTCCTGCCAAGAAATTACAGTGCAGACTGAGGTAGGTGTGTTTTTCAGATTGCCTAAAATCAGCTCATCTAAACCTCATTTAATACACATGAAGCATTTCTCCAACTGACATCAGCACAAATTAGTGATTTATTCAGTCAGACTTCCTACTTCATGGTGAACAAAGCTGTTAAGAG